CTTCTTTGGTAGCTAGTGCCACTTCCTTTCCCTTGTTCGATGTAGATGAGAAAATTACAAAATTTTGGTTAAGTTTCGTATTAAAAAATATTTCCTACGTTTTACAAGTGTTTAAATTCTGGTTTCCCTTTTTCCCTAGCTGTCAGGCTATTCCAACAATATGGGAAATTTCCCACGATTCAGCAACACTGATCAGTGGTCATGACTAGGCAAGGAGGATAGAAGGGTAGGAGGGGGCATGACTTTGGCCGCGTAGCCTCCACAAGCCATGCTCCCTAGATGCCTCGCCTCTTTCTCATTTTCCTCCTTACTCTCCTCACTTACCATGGCCGTGTTCCAAAATTTACCCGATCTTACTCCAGAGTAAAGGTTTTGTATACCCATGGCGTTCTAGCATTTTTCAATCTGTGCTGTCACATGATACGATCCGCCGGAGTAACACGAATCCATTTGTGTAAGATTTGGAACACAGCCCATGCCAACTGCATGCCAACGTGACCACATTACGTGACCGTAGCTAGCCTTCGTCTTGCTATGGCATACTAGAATGCACCACAGTCTAGCCTTCGATCTGATAAAATCTACCAGACGGAGCGCGCGCAAGCCTGAAAAGAGTCCTACAATCAACCATCCATCTCACACTTGACATGTCACGCGCACCAATCGCCAGAGAGATCTGCGGTCACTCTGGGCACAACATCGTTTAAACTTTTTATGACTAGGCTTCACCAATATTGCAACGTGCCCCCTCCTAGTAATAACCTCCTTGTTAGTGGGGGTGTTGCGAACTTTTGTCGAACCTAGATTCGACGCCGAACTGGTCGAACCTCAAGATTTGACTTGTTCGCCGAACCACTGCAGCGAGCCGAACCTTCAATCTTTCAATGGCTATACTCTTTGTAACGGGCGGTGGCTTGCACTGCCTGTTGCCCAGCTTTTACACTAATATTTTGAATTTTGGAAAACAAATAATTTAGAAAGTAGTTTATTTTACATTTTATAAAATGATTACCAATGTTTACACTATACTATATAAAAGCAAAAATGTGCGCTTTTGATGCTTTCATTAGCTGGTAATCCGAACCAGTGAGGCCAAATACGCCAAACAAATATTGCGAATTTCCTCTGCCAGGTTGGTTTTTTTTGTTTCCGTTTTTTAATTTTCATGCATGCACACAAAAGTCGACGTTCAGCCGAATTATGGTACCTGGAATGTGCTTCCTACTAGTGTGTTTACCGCAACCGAAAAAGTGGTCCCTCGATTTCCTCCTGATATCATATAAAAATGTCATGCTGTCGCTGGTCGCGATCCTGGCGTTATCCAAACAGCTGTGGTGTATATGGCAGACGTCTGTTCCACTGCAGGGACAGTCCACGTAAGTAACGTAAGCTACAGCAGCCGGAAGTTTTGGGACGCCTGGGACACCGTGACGACAGCGACACTCGCGTTCGCTCCTGCTTTTTGCCAGCAGTTCTGCGGCCAACCGCCAGGATCGCGACAGGCAACAGCATGACACTCCGGCTTCTGTGACGTCATTTGTTGCCACTTCGGGACCACTTTTGATGCAAGGGCAGCATAAGACACTATAACACCAGTCGGACATTGTCGAACATCACGTTGAAAGTTAGAAAAAGTCGACCTTGGCCTAACTCTAACCTGGGTAGGTTCGCTACATCCCAGGTCACCACTATGGATGTCACGAACCTGCCCAGGTTCAAGTTCGAATTTTTCGCCCTTTCAACATAATGTTCGACAAAAGTTTGATTGAACATTGACTTTCATATGCATGCGCGAAAATTATAACACCAGTTGACTTTACCTGACGGAAGGAAAGTGCAATATTTGTTTCGTGTATTGGCATCACTGGTTCACATTCTAACTAACGAAAGCATCAAAAGCGCATATTTTCGCTTTTCTATGGTGTAAACATTGGTAATAATTTTGTAATATACGTGAAATAAACTACTCTCTAAATAATTTGTTTCCCAAAATTCGAAATATTTGTGTGGAACTTGTAAGTCAAATTTCTCTAAACTTTAGTGAAAGGTCGAAGGTTCGGCAAGCCTTGAGCTTCGACGAAAGTTCACGCCACCCCTAGTCGTCGCCGACATACGATGGGCACCGGCACGCACGAAGACGACGAAAGAACCCAAACTGGTCGAAAATTTCGAAATCTCTTTGGGCCAATAAACCTTTCCACATGTCCAGTGGGCTCAGCGTCGTCAATGGCAACTGTCATGTGTTGACTCGCCCCTAAAAGGTAGCACTGTAATCGTGGTCTCGGTGGACGCCATTCGTCAGTCCGGATAAGGTTTTTAGCGTCCTATGCTGCTCATACATCAAAAGTGGTCCCGAAGTGGCAACAAATGACTTCGCAGAAGTCGGAATGTGATGCTGTTACCATGCTGTTGCATGTCGCGATTCTGGTGGTTAGTCGTAGAAATGCTAACGAGAAACTGCGATTAGCACAACTGAACGCAAGTGTTGCTCTCGTCACGGCGTCCCAACTTCTGGCTGCCGAAACTTCCGTGGACTGCCACGCTCGAGAGCAACCTCCAGCAGGACAGGCGTCTACCAAATACACCACAGCCGTTCGGACGCCGCCAGGATCGCAACTGCAGCATGACATGTCTCTATGACGTCATCAGGAGGAAATCGAGTGACCACTTTTTTGGACGCAGTAAACACACCAGTCGGAGACGCGTTCCAGCCCATAGTCCGAGTCAGCCCTGGTCTCTGGTTTCAAACTAACGAGGTAGAGGGGTTAAGAACGATAAACTGGTATCGCTGTTCACCAGGCAAAAGTGACCCCCACTTGGTTGCCGCCATGTTGCACAATTTTGATCACTATTAGGGGTGTCGCGAACCGGCCGAGGTTCGAGTTCGACCAGGTTCGACTTTTTCGAACTTTTAGTGGAAATTTCGACGAACCTTGTATTGAGGTTCGACTCGTGTGCGCATGCGCGACAGGCTTCGGGTTGGATGGTGATGGCTAAGGGATGAATTATGGGCAGCGTTGATTGGTTTTTTCAATTAATACAGTACAAAAAGTTAAGTTATTAACTTCTTCAGCAATTAGAATTGCTTTCTTTTAATTGAAACTGTTCATAAAATAAAATAACCCTTTGCATAGAAAAAAAAAATTCTTTAAACCTAGACATGCTTGGAACCGGTCGAATCTGGTGAAAAGTTCGAAGGTTCGTCGAACCGTTTCGACCCAGTCGAACCCCGAAAGTTTAACCTAAAAATTTGGTTCGACAAAAGTTTACGACATCCCTATTCACCATATGACTGTACCGAATCCTGAGGCTTTTACGCCAAACTGAGCCGAGATTTCTACTGCGATCGCTGTAACAAACATGATAAACTGTTTTTTCAATACTGTAGCCCCAGAGATCCGTGTCTGATAAAACTAATAAATACCACCGCGGCTGACGGAATCTAGCGGAGACATTGTGAAGCTGCCCAAGTTTTTGTCGAAGAAGCACATTTTTGCACCTAAAACAAACGAAACGTAACTTATCTCGTCGGTACTGTTATTAACGGTACCTCGTTCTAGAAGCAATGCTCCGTCGGGCCAAGGAAGCTCTGATTACGCCGCTAGACTGGCGAAACTTGGTTTAGTAGGAATATAAAGGGAAAAAGAAGTGCACTTCACCTCTCTTTCCCTTCATATCCCTAATACTAATACATTAGCAGTGCTCGACAGAACTTGCTTTTGACGAGTTGTGCCCTTTACCTACAACATTGTGCTTTAAAAAAAAATGTTCACGTATTTCCAACGGCAAGTCTCACGGCTTACATATTCCTTTAAAGAACTTCTTGAGCGAATGACGACGAACGAGTAGAAAACGTGTCTTCAGCACCCTACCGCCAAGCTCCGCAGGGCTCCAGAACCGCGACATTTCAGCATGCAAGATGGCCGCCTGGTAGCTTCACTTGCGTTACAGCGACCAAGCGGGGATGCGTGATCCAGCAATTCTTATAAAAATCCAACGAGCTTGAGTCTTACCTTAGAGCGGTAAACCGGAACCCACTGCCTGCAGCGGAAATGGCACCCCCCCGGTTGCCGCCATATTGCCTGTTTGCCACATTAGTGATCACGTGACGTTAAGATGGCTGCGCCCAAAGGTGGGCCAGATCAGATTGGCCAGATCGCGGTCAGCAGATGGCGGATGGGCACTGTGGGGCTGCGTTCGAATCCTACTCGAATGGCACCGAGTTGTTCCGGCGGATCAAGTCACGTGACAAGACAGATGCAGCAACGCTGGACGCGGGTAGGTTTTCGAACGCAACGGGTACAAGAACTTCACCCAGGAGTGAGGTAGAAGCTGCGTTCGATTTACTTGCACCTCCTGCACCGGTGCAGAAAAGTGTGGGGCGGTGTACTTCCGGTCGTATCTCAATACATATACCGGAAGTAGACTGCCCTACACTTTTCTGCACCGGCGCAGGAGGTGTAAGTAAATCGAACGCAGCTTTTATCTCACTCCTGGGTGAAGTTCTCGTACCCATTGAGTTCGAAAACCTACCCGCGTCCAGCGTTGCTGCATCTGTCTTGTAACGTGACTTGATCCGCCGGATTAACTCGGCGCTACTCGAGTAAGATTCGAACGCAGCCCCAGAGTGCCCATCTGCTGACCGCGATCTGGCATATCTGATCTGGCCCAACTCTGGGCGCAACCATCTTAACGTCACGTGATCACTAATGTGGCAAACAGGCAAGATGGCGGCAACCGGGGGGGGTGCCATTTTTGACCGCTGGTTTACCGCTCTAAGTTCACTCAAGCTCGTTGTAAAAATCAGTGATCATTTAGTGATCATAATAAAAACATCACGTGCACCCTATTTCAACCTCTTATCTCTGTGTGATCAGTGATTTTAACCATGATGTGTTTCTATATTTAACCTTCATGCTCTTTTTGGAACTGTCTCTGGTTTGGGGATTATTTTCGGCTTGGTTGGCCGTGGTTGGCCAATACACAGCCCAAAAGTAATCCAATCCGATTCAGTAAGTCGATTCAGTAAGTCAGTCGGTCAGTCCGCTGCTTCCGCTGCTGGCTGCATTTTGGTGGGGTTGAGCGTGTGGCATCGGCAAGATGATTTCACATAGCCTTCGGCAATGTGTTTTCTCTACACCAAAGTCACTTCTCTCCATTTCTGCTAGATGCTTTTCTAAAGAAATGGCACAAAAGTAAGGGAGCATTGGCTCTCTTTCTTAAGAGCAAACTCGCGTTTTCCCTCAAGACTGTTTAAAAGAAAATGCTCCTATTTCACCTTGAAAGAGTGACTGAACTTTGCATGTCGGCTGCTTTTGCAGAGCACCAGGGAAGCTTCTGGACGTTCTAGGCTACCGTATACACTTTGAAACAGTCGGAAACGGACCCAAGGTACTCGTTTTACTGCCGGGAGCCATCGGTAAGAACTTGGAGACTATCAAATGGCGAGTAGGAAGGAGCATTTTCCCAGAGTCGAAAATTTATGTCGAAATACTCAATTACGGACGACTGGTACGATCCAGTTCGTTTCGTGGAAGCACGCAACCTAGGCGCACATCTGAAATTGAATAATAATTACCATATGCGTGAGCTTCAGTAAAGAAAAGGGGGAAAACAATTGTTACGGGGAAAACAGAACTGTTAAACGAATATGGTCTGTGATGTAAGAACTGCAAATACAGTGCTAGCGGTTGAAGCACAAACTTGTTCTTAGAAAATAGTTACACAATTTATATGTAATCCCGTGCCGGTGTGTGTGTGTTGGAAAAATAAAGCGGTCAGTCAGCTATCAAAAGATGAACCATTTACAAACCAACTTCTCCTTTTTGTATGCAACCATTTCGAGGTGTGAACACATCCTCTTGTAGATAGCTTTCATCACAAATAATTGCTTTGCAAACATTTGGTACAATTGCAAAGCTAATTAGCAATTGCAGCAAATTGCCACTAATTATTGTCACTGACACCAATTATCTCCAGAATGAGCTGTCGTTACAGTGATTTCAGGGACAATGTCAGCTTTAGTTGACACATTTTCTGCAGTACAAGTTGTCCAAACAGTATTTTTGTGCTGCTGTTGCTTGGAGTTTAAACGAACGTTTCTCCCTTTTGTTAGGATCTACACGGACAGACTTTAGTCCCCAGCTAGAGAAATTGGACAGGAAGCAGTTCACACTAGTGGCCTGGGATCCACCAGGCTATGGATTCAGCCGGCCGCCGGAAAGGACTTTTCCTGTGGACTTCTACCACCGAGATGCCAGGGTGGTGGCACAGCTCATGAAGGCAGGTACCCCACCTTGTAGCTTATGCCAGTGAGACTTGTAAGTCTTTGGAGCCCCCCCCCCCCCCCCCCCCCTCTCTCTGAAAATCCAGTCAACCCTATGTTGTGCACATGTATTCCCCCCCCCCCCCCCCCCCCCCCCCCCCGCCTTCCTCCACCACCACCACCCCTGTTCTCGAAGTCGTGGACATCCAGGTGCCTCTAGTTAATTTTTTGCAGTAACTTGTAACTGTGACTCATTACTGCTTAGTGAAAATTACTTGTAACTGTAATAGCATTATCATTTTTTGGAAGTAACTGTAAAGAGTAAGGTTGTTACAGTTACTTCTCAGATTTATGTGCAAAAAGATTGCAGACAAGACCACCAAATCGTTTCGCAACTCATGAGAGAGTCCAAAGTCCTTATACAGAAAGGGCACAGCAAAAACTGCTGCAAAAACCGTCTAAAGCATGCAAAAAAAAAAAAGACTGCATCATTACGTGGTGAATGATGTTGATTGGGGTGAAGCTCTGGTGGTGCTGATACTCTGAGCCACAGCATGCCGAGCTTTTCGTTCGTTTTCATCCATGTCAAAAAGGGAATCTGTGGTATGGAACGTGGTTATATACGCATTTGAGCATTTGACCGCAGCGCCCTCTCGTCTATAAGCGTTGAGCCAATGCATGCAAGGTTTAACGCGATTATATACGCATTTGACCGAAGCGCCCTCTCCTGTATACACGTTGAGCGGCTACATGGAACGTTTCATCCATGACATCCCCAGCTCTTGAGTTATTACCACATCTCAGAGCCCCCTACTCGTCCAGCAGTCGAGGCCGAGTGGTTAAGGCAATGAACTAGTAATCCATTGGGGTCTCCCTGCACAGGGTCGAATCCTGTCGACTGCGCAAACATTTTTTCTTTTTTCAAGAAGACAGATGGGATGGCAATCGATGTGAGCACGGACGCCGGTCAAGGAGACCCTAAGGAGCTTCGCCCCTAAAAAAATAAGAAGCAATTAGGTTTTGGGTGACCCTGCTTGGCCAAGGTAGATTTGCCAACTGGGAGCATGGGGACGTTTGCAACCGTACCCGCTTTGTATGGTACATCTCCCAGAGCGCACGCAGATGTAACGAAGAGCGGCATCCATCCCTAAAGCGTTTGTTTTTTTCTTCCGGCGAATGGAGCAATTGGTGGAGGACAACTTTTGATGATTGTCGCCCCAAACGTCCGCAGGCTTAGGCACAACCGATCTTCCGAATTTCGTCTTTTTGCCACCAAGCATACATTTCCTTCCTTTCTGATTTGAATCGTCCAACTCCCAGATGCACTTTTGCGTGTTCTCGACTTCAGGCTCATTTGCTCTCCCTTCCCTTTTTTTGCAACCCAATAGCCGGCCTTGCCTCCCGTCACCCGCTTGTTGTCCCCCCATTGCTTCGCTTCTCGGGTCAGGTTACTTTAGAAAGAGTCTTCACTTGAAACCTCTGTGTCGTTCTGCTCGTTTGTGTGTTTTCTTGAAATCGAAAGAGTGCCCTTAGCCATAACCGGGGGCATTCGGCATCATTATATCTATAAATATCCACGTCATGGGCTTTCCCATTACGTGAATATCTATAAATATAACTTGCCTCACTACCCCAACTAGAAGGTCTCTTCTAGTTGGGGTGGTGATGTGGTGGAGCACAAACATGTCCGATCTGGTTGGGAAGTGGTGGAGGAAAGATCGCAACAGCCATTTGAAATTCTACATGCCGTAGTCGTTTCTAATTCGATCTGTGCTTCTTTTGGACCGCTGCCGTGTTCGGCGGGTTTGATGGAGGAATGTTGCCTTAACATTGCTCTCAAAGTTTTCAAGAAAAGCTTTGTGTTTTATGGAAAAGGGTATCCATGCAGTAGAAAACAATTCAACCTTAGAGTGGATTGAAGTGACATAAGAAAACATCTACAAAGCTGATTGCAAGGTATAACTTATATTATCATTGACTTCACATTTGCACCATTTTTATTGCTTCCGTCCCATTTCACCCCACCAAAGAAATCTGAAATTAGAATTGAGTGATTGTAAACTCGCACCGTTATTGGATACACCCGAGATCTTGACGCATGCTGTTGTGTTCCTGTATACCTTCTGGTGACGGTGCTTATTTTAAAGTTCTTCATGGATCATCACCAGGTATCTGCAAGCTCTAGTGGGAAAGTGCCCACTCAAAATTTGGAGATAATCGCGAAAAAATGGGGGATGGCCGCTTGTTTGGTCATCATTTTTACATATAAATTTACTCTGCATATTTTCTCAGATCTTACAAATTTGGAATTGGGGCTTTGTGTGGAATGGGCGGATGTATTATATTCTAGAGTAGTGGATTTACCCAATTACTGTTAAATTATGATCCTGTTCAGGGAGCTACCTACTTGTGGTAAAAATTGAAATAGGAAGGACCAAGCAGGTTAATATTGATTATTGGGAAAGATATTACTTTCTCGAAAAATCCGATTCACTACTGTGAGCAACACAATGTCTTACGAAAAATCCATGCTAATTTAAAGGCATGTTAAGGAAGTTTCCTTTTGAATGTCTTCTAATATTTTTTTGTAAATTAACGAGGAAGTAACAGCATTACTTTAGCGAAGTAACTGTAACAAGTTACTCTTTCAATTTTGTAACTGTAGCAGGCTTTCATTTTTTCTCTGAGTAACTGTAACTTTAACTCCATTACATTTTAGCAGTAATGTGCCCATAACTGGTTTTAGGCAGAGTCAACTTTCCAAGGGAGGGCAGAGGGGGCCAGTCAGGATGGTGACGACCGATGATGATGTTCGCCCGACGCAAGTTTCCCGGGAAGGTGATAATAAAAAAAATACTAACAGTTGTTCGCTCCCGCTGGACAGATTACGACGTGGTTGGTTTACGATAACCAGTGTGGCTACGTTTATTTTCAAAACAAAACGACAACAAGTCAACAATAATTTACAGAACTCCCAAAATTAAAACCCATACTTTAGTCCCCAGTCTCAAGAGCCGAATCTGCCTGATCTCATACGCCGAATCCCTGAGAATCCTCTCGGCAGCCCTTTTCTGGACTCGTAGGGGCCTCCTTTCCCTCCAGAGACAAGCCAATCACTTCAAATTTGCCCATTGTCACGTGGTACACTCTTACCCAATGATCAGCGAGCTGTCAACGTGACCCCCCTCCGACACTTCAACGGTCAAACCCAAATTCTCTGTAGAGTAACCACATGCTTTCTCAGCCGTCTGGCTGGCGCCACCAAGTTAAGTTATTGCGTCGACTAAATGCGAAGTTTTCTACACTAAGCGGCGAAATATGCCGGACACAAGCACACCCGCTTAAAAGCCACAAGTGCGGACAGAAGCCCAAGACAGGGGTGTTCCGGCGCCCCAACTGAAACCTAATCCGTTTGTTAACGAGCGGGGTCCGACTCTTCTCTACCGAGCCCTGCGGCTGCTCGAAGCCCCCCGCGCTTGAGGGAACAAGACGACTCCCCGTTCACGCTCTCACTCCCTGCCGCGGGTCTGCAAGCAAACGCCCCCGCGGGTCTGCAAGCAAACACCCAAAAATGTGGACACAAACACAGGCAGATAAAAAAACGATGCCGACGCAATTGTAAAAAGATAGACTTTTCTAAAACAAATCTTACTTATTTCTAACAAAATCCTTCGTTACTTAACAGGCAGGCTAATACTCTTTTACGAATATGAAGTCCACTTGCGACTTATGGCACTGTGTGCCTGGAAACCTCTCAAAGGGTCACCGACAGGGTATTTATGCTCAGCAAGGTTTTTATTTCTACATGACAAATGAGAGCCCAACCACCCAGAACACAATTTGCTGTTTGAAATTCGTTTTCTTTCCTCCCGAAAACCGCCGATTGAGAACTGGCCGGTTTGAGTCTCGCTCACTTTCTTCTCTGTGGTCATGTGCCATTTTCTGCAGTTTAGACACAACCACCAATGATAATCACTGTCGTGGGTCATCAAAGACACACACTCAAAGCTAACAATAGACAAGAAATATTATACCAATTTTTTGTAGCTTGTAAAAACACTGCAAATACGTTGATTGAAAAAAAAAAAAAAAAAAGAAAAGTTGCACAGTCACGTGATTTCTGGTAACTTTCTCCTCTATACTATTTCTTCTTCCTCCCCAGTCGAGTTTTGGTTTCGGTTTTGAGCAGTTCTGTTTTTTTACTTTATTAAAAATGTATGTGACACTGTAGCAAAATATTGATTGGGTAGTCTTCTGACAGCATAAAGGATTGCCTGGCAAAAGATAAAAACATTTTCTGGGAGAGTGTCAGTGTCCCTTTAAAGTCTCTTACGACGCCAACTCCAGCTATTGGGTGGCTGTGGAACACTTGGCAATGCTATAAATGAACATTTCTCATAAGTAGCACGTAAAATACCTGGAAGCGCCACTTTTACTGAAACTGGGCTGCTCGAGACAAGGGCACTTGTCCGGCAAGGTCGGGCACTTGGTGTATGATCTGCAAAATTCCCCAAGTTTGGGGAATGTTAATGGTGGGTGCTTGAACAAAGTGGGCACTTCTGCGGTATTTTACGGTATGTACATTTGACCTCGCAGATACCGGAAAACCTTCGCTCTACTAGTGAAATGCAGTTCTAGCATCACCTTGTACCTTGTGCCAGCATACCAGTGCGTTCTCTCGTAAGAGAATTTAAGAGCAGGGGTGACCAACCTGTTGCTCTTTGTGGGTCCAGGTGTGGTTTATGGCTCTCTGGCAAGCATGCCCCCCTTCCCCTCCTGTGTGCCTAAGGCGACAAGAGTTCTAGAGTTGAAGAAAAAAAGCTCACAGTCTTGGCAGCCTTGTGCTACACATGTACTATCGCAGACAATATGAGCTGAAACAGCGCTCCGGCCGGCGCACGGTACTACCTGCGCAGCCTGTCGCCTTGCTTCACACACGCTGAGGCCGAGATAAATTACCTCTTGCGGTCACTGCGCCACTGCGCTCTTCCGGCCATCTGTTAGCAAGACAGTGTGTGCGACAGCGGGCGTGTGTGTGATAGGGCAGAAAGGGGGGGAGGGGTGGGCAGAAGGTTACAGTTGTCCCTATTTTGCAATAGTTTTACTGCATTCTATCGCATAGAATGATGTAGAAAAAAAGCTTACTGGTGAAGAAAAAATCTTGAGGTATCTTAAGTTGCAACTGCGATTATCGTTTTTGAAAGGCACACCAAAAGACATTGCAGGTTGTTTTTGTTTTATTAAGTGCATGCACAAAGTAGGACATCGTACAATATAGGCCAAAAACTGTATATGAGATTTAGGCCAGCTCCAAGGTGTTTACTTTTTTTTTCTTTTTCATTAGGTACAGTTGTCTAAAAAAAATAAAAAACGGTAACCATACATGTTACTGCGAAGGTTTTGTAACCTTGATGGGTATAAAAAGCTTCAAAAATATGAATTCTTCGTTAGTGGGCCCACGTGTTTGTTTTAAACATACAAGTTGCTGACAACACACCGGTGTTTTATTTACGAATTCCTAGTCTTAATAAACTGTGACAAACAGTCATATATTTGCCAGGAGAAGGAGCTTGAAACATCATCGAAAGAATATTCGCAGAGGTCAATGTCCGACACAAGAGGTTAGTAGTCGGCGTGGAAGTTCAACTGGACTATGCAAGAAGATTAGGATCATAGATGCATGACACAAAGGTATGCACTGGTTAACGGTGTCAAACAATGTGTCGCAGCCATATTAGCAAGCTTTGTTCTAATCGCCAGAAGGCCGGTTCAGGGGCCGTGAGGCGCAGTAAAAGTTATGACATCACAATGGCCGCCGAGGTGTGCCATAGAGCAAGGAGCTCGCGCTTGTAGCCTTTCTTGCGGTACAATACATGGTGAAACAGAGTATACGAAATATTCACTGGCAGCTCTAGAAATGTGTGCAAAGAAGTTAATACCGTTTCATTTACCCCTATCCCGTGACCACGGGTGTCATCCTCTCCGGTAAGGAATCATAGAGCGCAGCCACGAAGTCTGGCTCGGCCCGAGGCCTCTCCCATTCACATCTCACCGCTTCCCACATTTCGTCGGCAGTGGCGCGGTAGAGGGGACGCAGTGACAGTGCTACCTTAACGTGCCTCCAAATGTGTTCAATGATATTCAAATCGGCACCTTTCGGGGGCCAAAGCAGCTTTGTCAGGCAGCGCTCCTCGAGGAGATACGAGCGTGACAATGCATTTTCCACTTTGGTGCTTTCTTGAAATGCACTGAAATGCATGTTAGCTAGAAACGTGAACATTGGGCTGCACGGCACACGCATCATGATGATGGTTTTGTTGGCCATCATTTTTGCTAGCAGATGGCCGGAAGGGCACAGTGGCGCAGTGAGTGGAAGTGATAATTTATCTTGGCCTCGGGGTGTGTTTCTTTTGTGGAGCGATTCGACAGGTGGCGCAGGTAGTATCGTGCACAGGCCGGAGCGCTGTTTCAGCTCATATTGTCCGCGATAGTACACACAGCTGGACTGCTTTATGATACATAGATGTGTCTGGTGACCATGGAGGTAGGAAACTTTTGGAGTCGACATGACTCCACCAGTGGTGATGCCAGAAGTGTGGAGGGACACGCCCCCAACGATGACTGAAACCAAGAGACGCCATTGGATGAAAAGGAGAGCTGACCCAACAGCTGTTTTGGTCACCCTCGGGGGTACCCAACAGTGACCGAGGCTTTTTTGCTCATAATGTTTGGTGCGCCAAAGCGTTAAACTATTTGTCCGATGTTTAATGAAGTTGACGTTGCTCTCTTTATTGAAACTGTGGGAATCACTACTCCGTTTTCACTGAAGAGGTAACATCAGGAGGGCAGTCTTGGGAGGTTGCCTAGCATATTGTTTAGCATTGTTCTTTCTTTCTTACTCCACCACCTTTTCTCCTTGACTGTAACTCTCTAACATCAGCTGCCACTGTGTTCCCAGACACAGTAAAAATAAAAGACATCCACACACAACATCTCAAAGCACAACTACTGCTTTACTTTGCAGCTTCACATTTATTTGCACCGTCAACTCTTTTAATGTATTTTTCCAGGTCTCACATTTATCGTTATGGGGCCACAGTTTCACCTTTCGTTGCTGGTTTTTGCTTACATTCGGTATTTCTGGTATTCCCTCACAGCAACTGGGCCATAAGAAATACAACGTGCTGGGTTGGAGTGACGGAGCCAACACAGGAATGATCCTTGCAGCCACGTACCCCGAGCGCATCGAGAAGCTCGTCGCTTTTGGAGGGAATTCTTACATTGAAGACATCGATGTGCAGTTATTGGAAGGTAAGGTCGTTTCGAATTTCCTATTGTATATTAGGGTGTCTTCGACCGACCTGGTTCAAAAGTCTGTTGCTGTCGAGCGTGGATTATAACTACCATAAAATACCACGAAGTGCCCACTTCGTTCAAGCTGCCACTCCTAACATGTCTCAAACTTTGAAATTCTGCAACTTATACATTAACCGCCCGATTTAACTGGGCAAGTGCCCGTGTCTAGGTAAACCCAGTTTTCAATGAAAGTGTGGTGGGCGGCTCCCGGTGTCTTACAGTAGGGTTTCTTGTTTTTGGGGTTTAATCTTCAAATTTGAGGGTGTTTTTTAGGGGATTTGTACTTTCTCGCATATTAGGTGTCGATTATACCATTTTGTTAGGGGGCTTAGTAGTCTGTTCAGTTTTTTTCCAGAATGTTTTGGCCAAATATTTTTTCACAAGATAAAGCACACAACAACTGGTGGCAACTGCCTAAGCCAAGACTCCAGCCAAGGTGTAACATTTTTAAACTTTGGCTACAGTTTGTGAGCTCTGCTCGAACTAGGTCCAGGTCGAGCAGACTGTACAATCACTGTCACGCTGTCTCTCACACAGCCACCAGGAATGTGGAGCAGTGGAGCAAACGTATGCGGGAGCCAATGGAGGCTCTCTACGGACCCGAGCGCTTTCAAAAACTCTGGTGGGACTACTGCGACTTCTACAAGCGTCTACTGCACAACCAGGGCGGAGACGTGTGCAGAGCCGAGCTAGCTAAAATTCGCTGCCCAACCCTCATCGTGCATGGAGGAAAAGACCCCCTCGTGACGCCGGAACATCCTGCCTACTTGCTCCGCCACATTGCCCTATCCAAGTGAGCTCCCTTCTCTGCGTTTAGACAGCAGGATGTCTACCAAGCCGGAAAAAAATTGTCAGGGAATTTTAAAGCACCTGGAAAAGTCAAGGAATCGCAAAGGAAATCGTCAGGAAATTGATTTATTGAGGGAAAGTGACCGACGTGGGTGGGGCAGTAACCCGCAACGAAGCGGGAGGGCGTGGCGTGCAGTGGCGTGGATGGTCGTCACGCTTAGTAACAGTTGTCCGAGGCATCGCTAGGCGGTGTAAGCCACCACCCGATTTTCCAGACCAAAGAGGTGCAGCCCAAAAAGTCGCCGCAAGCCCATCCTCAACATTTTTTTATTTTCCAGTAGTCGGGAAATTTAATCGAAATATTCAAAGAAAAACTGGAAAAATTAGGAAATTTCAGATAAGCAGTTTGGTAGACACCCTGGACAATCTGCCAATATCTTAGGTGAATAGGCACCCTCAGTTGCTGTTAAGCCAGCAGCAGTTAGGGAATTCCATTGAGTGTGGACCATACAGCCAACAAGTACCTTATAATCGCGTGTAAGGGCCACACTCGTGTAAGGGCCGCACCCCCGTATTTAGGACAAAATACTGCAAAATAAAAAAATTGGAGAAATTATTCGTGTATGCACTGCACTCTCTTGTTTTTGAGGTGCGCCGACTGTAATGCATGAAAGTTTCTATAAATATATATCGCTAGGTGGCGCTAGCCACCGCCCGAGCACGTAGCGGCACGTCTCCGCCTCCCCGATATTTGCTCTCCACTCATCCGTATCACCGTATGGCACAATGGCTGCCAACCTCGATCGTGGTCGGCCGCGCTAGAGTGTACTAGAAGGACCGAGTGGGGCGACCGGAGTGCTATTTAGGTACCTCCGCATGTGGGAAAAACCGGCTAATCCAAGCCACTTCGCTCGTAGCGCCCTTTCGGGCACTACAAGCGAAGCGGTTCGGATTAGCCGGTTTTTATGAAAAAAGTGTTGCGTTCCAACGCCAAGATTGTTCCACAAGCGGCGGCGCCGAAAAAACGCTTCGGTCGTCTCACTAAGCCCTCTCTAGTACACTCTACGATGGTGGCGCTGCGATCGAAGTGGCTTGGGTCCACCTGATCGCTTTCCAGATTTTGAGATGCAACTGAAAGCATGAGCAGAGCCTGTAGCTTGTCCCACTCTTTCCTTCTAGTACACTCTAGCCGCACTGTCGGGATGCGTTTATGTTGCTGCTGGAAGACATTGAGAAAAGATAAAGGATATGTCAGCTTCTGTGGCAAGCGCGAGGAATGGGGATTCAGCGGGCTCGGCTCGCGTGTGCTCTGGGGAGGTTTTCTTTTGTTCTTCGATTCGTGTCAAAGCGTCGTGATTTGTCTGCTTTTTCGCGCAATCAGAGCTATGGACAAGTACCACTTCAACAGTCATACGGGATTCAAGTCGAAAGTTGCCGTGCATGCTATCAAGTACAAAAAAAAACAAAAAAACATGCGTATTGCGCAGTATGTAAACTATAATTAAATCCGACTGACGATTCAGTCCGGATTCAGGAGTGGAGGCGTTCATTTCAAAATGTGGATACAGATTTTTTTTTTTTATCCGTGTATGGGCTGCACCTTGAAAGTTTGCCCTCAAATCGGGAAAAAATAGTGCGGCCCTTACACGAGTTTATACGGTAACTAGAACTGCAAGCCTCCAACTGAACTCGGCTGGCAACTGATGAAAGTGCATGTCTGCTTGGGGTATGACTGGATTTGTAATCCTTGAAGGATGCTGAATGTGGTCACAAGCAGGGCTGGATTGACACGTCAGAAAGGCCTAGCTCAGATTGTCATGTGGGGTTTACCCTCCCTGTGTCAGCTCAGTTTTAATGCCATCGATTCCATTTCTTGTTTCATGCTTCTGGAAATATAAATTATGCTCCTGCCTCTCTGCTTGTCTAATTGATCTTGGTATGTCTGCATTTCCACCCCTTGCACCCCAGTGCGAGAGATAAATGTTTTAGATGATCCGTCTTTCAGATCGCCGGGTTGTCTTTAATTATACCTCATTTGCTTTAGAATTATTACTGAGCCTTCTGATAACAGCATGGGACATAAACAAAGTAATGAGAGGCCAAACTTGCAATCAGGTCTTGTTGGTGGGCCCTCGTTCTAGAGAAGGTTCAGTATTTCATTGCGTGCACTGTGGAGGCTAAGCAAGTGCTAGCATATACCATACTAGTTGGAAATGTTAAGTAAGGATTTTGGAAATAGTATTTCTTTTTTTCCTGGAACCAATAAAAAAAAAAAGAAATACATGGTTTTCGGTTAATTCTTTTGCAGGTTGTGTGTTATACCAGAAGGAAAGCACAATCTCCACTTGAAGTTTCCGGAAGACTTCAACAAGCTCGTGACCGACTTCATCCTTGGCTGATGTATGCATTTTAATGTGAGGCTTGTGCCGTTTTGTTGGGAATTACCGTAATTACTCACATAATGAACGCACTCTTTTTTTCCGAAAAATTTACACATACTTGGGGGATGCGTTAATTATGCGGGGTAAAATTTTTGCATTTACACACTTCGTGCAAATGTCATATTATGTGCCAATATGACGTGGCAAGGCACTGTGGCACGTCTCCACTGATGGAGGCGCACTCACGGCTGGTCGGGGGCGCGCCACAGTAACCATGCTTTATAAATTTCGAACCCCTTTAGGGCGCTTTTGGCGTGCCTTTTGCCAAAGGAAAAGCGCCCTACGAAGCTCACTCATCACAGAGAGCAACACAACCGTTTTTAGGCCTAACGACTTTCTTGAGTTAAATGTCCAAAAGCTGACCACAGACGATGGCGTGTTTGTTGACATCAATGCATCCGATAGGCAGAGAATGTCTGGGGCTTGGCAATTCCTCGACCTAAGCTTGGTCAAGTGTGCGCGCCGCTCGGTTTCACGGTTGACCACTTCCAGAACTACACACTTGCCACCATTACGAGAGCGGCTTGGCTTGGCTTGACTTGGCCTGACCGCTAGGCAGCAAAAGAAAATTGGCTTGGTGGGCTTGGTGACAAGCTAAGTTGGATGCAGTTCGAGACTCGCGGAGCCAAAAATTAGAGGTGCGTTTATTACACGCGGTAAAAAAAAAAAGTAAAAATATTGGTACCCTTTGGGGGGTGGGGGGGGAGGGTTTATTATGCGAGTAAATACAGTATATGATAAACTGTTTTCGGTTCAATAAAAGTGGATAAGGTTGCGGTGTATATGGTGCCTATTGCTGTAGTGCCTTTCAAGAACTTTGTCAGAAAATATGTAGTATCATTGTGCCAATTATGTTTAACAGAGATTATTTGCATAGGAGTCAGTAGTTGCAGATTAAATAAAAGATTGATGTTTTACCAAAGTTCTGGGCACCCTGGTGGCTCCCCAGCCCAGTTGCCTGGGTGCACAGGCGGCGGACTTTTCCGCGTGGCGGCGGAGTCAAGCTGGCCACACGCACATCGGCGGAATTGGAAGCGGCGCAGAGGCAGTCGCTGCCTGGACCCAATTGCTGCTGGTAACAACGTTAATGTATTGATATCCTCGTCCATGTCTTATTAAATGTAGTTTCTTGTTGTTGAAACCGCTGGCTGCGTGTTATTCCCCCGGGTTGGGTATGCAGCAAGGCCAGTCTTGGGCAGTAACTAGTTACTAGTAACGCGTTACCGGTAACTAGTTACTTTTTTCGGTAACTTTTAACTGTAACGCGTTACTCTTTAATACTGGTAACTTGTAACTGTAACACTGTTACTTTTTTATTGGGTAACTGTAACTGTTTAGGCCGTTACAGTTACTTTTTACTATAAAATTAAAATTCCTGGCTGACAAAAAAAAAAGAAATTGAACAAACAAAAAAAATTGCCTCGTTTTGCCCACGACGGACCATAGACGAGACGGACGAGCGAGCACGAAACCGGGAGATTAAGGAAGCGGCGCCTGCGGTGGTAGGGGAGGCAAACAATGTGTGTTTCACCGACTTTGGCTCAATCTTCTTCTGTGGGGACCGTCTGCGGGTGTCGGTGGTCATGCGACATGTCTCCGAGTATTCCGTCTGGGCTGTGTCTGCCCTTCCCCCTCTCCCTTCCTCTTTGTCAGATATGTCCGCGCTGTACGTCGCTTTTACACCCAGCCGGTCGCCGCTCCCTCTTCGCTATGAGTTTCCAAGGAAGCCGTCCCCATATTAGGCGGAAAGTCGGCGCTTGTTTAACTTATTCTTTCTCTTCGGAACCGCTCGAGTAAATTGCCTTTCCCGCTGACAGCCCCAAGAAATACTCCAATAGACGTTTTGTTGTGGATTCTCTGCAGTGCTCCAGCTGAAGCGATTACCCGGAAAACACGTGTTTTTAAGAGAGAGAAATTGCTGTTTTGAGGCGCGTGTGCGGACTGATCTTCCACAGTTGGCGTTTGAGACAGAGGCGCCGCGGTGGTCGTCGTACACACGTAGAGCACCAGAAGGCCTCACTTTGTCTCCTTTCCCCCTATATTCTTCCAAAGCTGTTTGACCTGCTATATTTAAGCCTGCTTTCGAGTATATCCCATAAGGTAATTATGTGACCATCTGTGTCCTCTTTGGTTTCGGAGTGAAAAATAAACGAAAATGTTCACTGACGCGGGAGGTTCATCTAACGCAACGTATGTCCGAAAGCTTGTACCCTGTCGCCTATTGGTGAAAACTTTTGGGGGCTGAGCCACGTGCGGGAATGCGATTGGTTTGCGCAGAGGCCAGTTTAACCAGACGGTTCAAAAATGGCCACTATTCTTCAGCTATCACTTGTCAGTTTGTCAGTGCTGGAGCCCACTCTCCACTCGCTCTTGCGATACCAAGGGTCCCTGTCACAAATGCAGTACTGCACCCCACTTTCCAACGCCCTTGAGGCGGGAGTCAAGAAGAGGTGAGCGATATATTTGTTGTTCACTATATTGCTACCCCTCTCTGCACATGCGTTTGCATGGTAGCATATCCGTGCGAGCTATCTACACTTAACATTGTAGGTTTCAATCATCCATATTTCGATTTATAGGTTCAAGCAGTGCAAAAATCTCCTTTTTGTTTCTTGTCTCGTCACAGGTTTTCAGAAGTTCTTGAAGACAAGGACTTGGCCCTTGCAGCGGCGGTACACCCCAAGTTCAAGCTATCCTGGATCATGGAAAACGAGCGGAAAGCTGCAACTGTACGGCTGCTCGAGGAAGAATGTCGTGCGCTGGAGGAGCACTGCAGTGAGGACGCAACAGGCAAAGAGGATGGCGACGAAGACGATTTTTTTTTCCACTTGCCTCAAGCATTACCATCATCAACGGAGGTGCAACAGTGGGTGAGCGACCCCGCGACCGATCTGACCGGGCTCTCAAGGTTCCCCATGATAAAGAGGATCTTCATCAGGCTCAACACGGGGATTCCGTCAAGCGCGCCGGCTGAACGCCTGTTCAGCAAAGGACGCGATGTGTTCGCCATCAAGAGAGGGAAGCTCTCCGATGACAATTTTGAAAAACAGTTGATATTAAGTTATAACAAATATTGCAAATAAGTTATAATCGTTAAAATTCTGAAACGACGAATGACACAAAAAAGAAGCACCCTTCGGTTTTAATGTTTTCTAATTTCTCAGCAGTTCATCTTTCTTCTCACTACAGTGTAACAAATAAAATATTTTTTTTGGTTTATGGTTTCTTGTGTCCAATTTTGGTACTGTAACGAGAAAGTAACGGCGTTACTCTTTCTGCGGTAACTGTAACTGTAACACGTTACTTTTTTAATCCGATAACTGTAACTGTAACAGAGTTACTTTTTCCCCCTAGGTAACTGTAACTGTAACACTGTTACTTTTTACTGGTAACGTGCCCATGACTGAGCAAGGCAAACCAACCACAATGGTACCCAAGCGTGGTATGCTACCCGCTCGCGGGAATTTCATGGGGCATGATTTCTTTTGGTAAGCCTTTTCCCCAGTCCCCACGTTTCCTAGTGTCGTTCTGTGCTTCTGTCACGTCCGTGTTTGTTGTATTGGCGTGTTTCAGACTGTCTGTTTTGTCACCGCAGCAATCGTTTTATGCGCTTGTGTTTCTGAAAGGCGTTTCTTTTATGTGATTGCAGCCATGCTTGCATGGGAGCAGGAAGCCGCAATGGCCGCAGCGGCACAAATGAAACTGCTCACGAAGGTCACGGAGCTGGGCACTCCGTGATGCAGCGCATGGCCCTCATGCCTGGCCAGCAGGAGACCCTATTGCGAGAGCCCCAACCACACTTGACTGTGCCAGTCTATATGGGGTACGACGATGTCAAGTCCATAGCAGAGTTCCTGGGCGAGTTGCAGATGTACCACCTTGCCTCCACTACCACCTTGCCTCCACTGCCTCGGAAGCCTTCATCATGAACCTCATTGTTCCACTGGCGTTGCAAGCCAGCACCAGGTGCTGGTTGGGGCCGCAGGCCCCCTTCACCAGCCTGGTTTACTTCCAGACAAGACTACGAGAAAAGTTTCTGCTTGCAGGCTACGCAATGCAGATTCTTCGAGAGCTCGAGGCGAGGACGCAGCACCCGGACGAAAGTCTGGTCCAGTACGTTCGGGTCATGCAACAGCTCATCAAAAAATGAAAGCCGTTCACAATTCCCTGTAACGCCGGTTAGAGCGCAGCTCTTGAGGAGGAAGATGGAAGTGTACTGAGGGATAGGTGACTCCTTGAGGTCACGTGACCTAAGGGGTCACGTGACCTCAGGGGCTTGCGTGACCTCGGGGGTCACGTGACCTGAAGGGGTCACGTGACCTTAGGGGGGTCACGTGACCTCAAGGGGTCACGTAACCTCGGAGGGTCACGTGACCCCCTCCCCCCCCCGGTTACGCTGACGCCGACGCCACTCAGGCTGGAAACGGGCCCCTAAGAGCTGCGCTCTAAAATGCAAACCTGAATTCACCAGAGTCGGACAGAGTAGCTCGGGTCGGAAGACAGTGCCATCCAAGATACCACATTTACTTCATCAACCGCACCTTTGAGGCCCTTGAAGATCTAGCCCGGGGTGCCCACTTCATCGAGGATGCTATGCTTGCTGAGTGGAACTATGTGCCGCCGCCACCAGCCAAGTACGCACTTGAACCGGCTGAGCATGGCAGGTCCCCGAGGCCTCCACGCAAGTGGACTCTCCGAACAAGACCTCCCTTCCCCACCTGTCAACCAGGAAAGTTGACGTGGCATGCATGGTGATCCCCCATGCGGGATAAGCGTATGTTCACCTAACACTCTTCGAGAGGTCCCCGGAGGTCGCATCGGGGTCCACGAGGATCCCGGGCGGGGGTCGTTACTACACATGATAGGTTGTTGGCTGCACCATTTCGAAAGCTGGGGCCCAACGGAGATCACCAATGGAGTCTGCTCCTGCAAGTGCTGGGGAAAACTGGCACACTGTGATCGCAATCCCGCAGCCATGCAGCATTGACCCCCGCTGCAACAGAACAAGTCCTCCCCACAACAGCCGGTCGCAAGCCCGGCGGAGGCCGTCCCATAGTGGTTCTTTACCCAATCACTGGAGGTAGTCCAACGGGCACTTTCAGTGTGGGTGGACTAAGCATTCAACTGTCGTCGGACTGCTGCAATGAGTGCGAGCAGCTTGGCCATCACCGACACCAGTGTCCAAGGCTTCTGGACACTACAAACAAGGGGTGGCATGAGACAGCGGCAAAGTGCCGGAATCAACAACTAGGGAAACTGCTATGGCCGGTGACGCTGAAGCCAGACAGCCACTCGCCGACGGCCGTTACAGTCCCTGGGGGCAGCGAGGCCACGGCACAAATTCAATCAATATGTCGAACCACACTTGATTTCATTGAACCGCGCATGACTATTTCACAGCTTGATGTTCCCATTGTCGCACTTTTGAATGCTGGGGCTGCTACCTCAATTATAAGGGATTTCGTTTTCGAACAGTGCAAAGCAAAAACGATAGGCCTCTGGGAATGCGAAGTGCGTTTGCAGCTAGCTTCTGGTACAGCGATAACAGCTGGCTGAGCCATAAGGCTGCAGACTCTGTTTAATGGAAAGAAGCGGCATCAGCGATTTCTTTATCTGCCAGGGCTCGTGATACCCGTGATCTTGGGCCGAGATTTCATAAAGGTGAAAACATGGCACTCGAATTTTCTGGTTGTGGATAATGGCTGGGGCAACAACCAGAGCTGATTCCGTTTACCAGACAGGAGGACTGCATCCGTAACCCGCCCAGTGCAGCCCACTTCACCATTGTGCTGGACGTCTTGCCTGCCGGCGTTCGAGAATCATTGAAAAAGGTGACGCGCCGCCTCAGAGGTGCAACCCTCGACTGATCAGCGTCCACAAAAGGGCACTCCTAGATGCGGCACTCGAGATGATTGACACCGGTTCAGCATATGTGAGTCGAAGAGCTCTTGGGTGTTCTCCATTGTTCTCGCTCCGAAAAAAGACGGAACAGCCAGACTGTGTGGATTACAGGCAGCCTATTGATATGTCCATCCAGACAGCTACCCTTTCACAAGCGTTTCTTCTGTGATATACGCGTTCAGTAACTCGACCATGTTTACAACGCTAGATTGCAGTTGCAAGTTTCTTGAGATCGAGGTTTTCGACGCCTGATGGATGTTTTACTCAAGAACTCGAAGTATGAATTTGCCATATCATACATGGGTGATGGGGTTGTTTTCTCGAAAACTATTTAGGAGTTAAAAAACACCTTCGGGTGTCATACTTTAGCAAATGCGTAAGGCTGGCCTCACGATTCACCCCGGAGAAGTTCAGTTGGCCATGCCCAAAATTAACATCCTTGGTTTCGTTGTGGATAATGACACGTTCCGCCCCAACAAAGATAAGTTGCGCGCGCTAATGGAATACCCAAGCCCACATGACGTAAAGAGCCTACAAAGATACCTCGGAATGATTGCGTTCTAAAGGAACTTCATTCCACACTCTTCCAAGATAGGTATCCCAACTGCTCACTCACCTTCTAAAAAAAGTGTCAACATATGTTGTTAGACTGAACAACCACAATGCGCATTCTCAGCCCAGCTAAAAATACCCATTGGTTCCAATTGGCTTTTCCAATTGGTACCAATTGCCAAAACCAGTTAGGTTTTGGGACTCCCAATTGGAAGAATACCAACTGGTTCCAGTTGGAAGAATACCAATTGGAACGAAAACCATCTGGGTTTTGGGACTCCCAATTGGAAGAATACCAATTCGTTCCAGTTGGAAGAATACCAATTGGTCTCAATTGGAACGAAAACCATTTGGGTTTTGGGACTCCCAATTGGAAGAATACCAATTGGTCCCAATTGGAACGAAAACCATTTGGGTTTTGGGACTCCCAATTGGAAGAATACCAATTGGTCCCAATTGGAACGAAAACCATTTGGGTTTTGGGACTCCCAATTGGAACGAAAACCATTTGGGTTTTGGAACTCCCAATTGGAAGAATACCAATTGGTTCCAGTTGGAACGAAAACTATTTGGGTTTTGGGACTCCCAACTGGAAGAATACCAATTGGTCCCAATTGGAACGAAAACCATTTGGGTTTTGGGACTCCCAATTGGAAGAATACCAATTGGTTCCAGTTTGAAGAATACCAATTGGTCCCAATTGGAACGAAAACCATTTGGGTTTTGGGACTCCCAATTGGAAGAATACCAATTGGTCCCAATTGGAACGAAAACCATTTGGGTTTTGGGACTCCCAATTGGAAGAATACCAATTGGTCCCAATTGGAACGAAAACCATTTGGGTTTTGGGACTCCCAATTGGAACGAAAACCATTTGGGTTTTGGAACTCCCAATTGGAAGAATACCAATTGGTTCCAGTTGGAACGAAAACCATTTGGGTTTTGGGACTCCCAATTGGAAGAATACCAATTGGTATTCTTCCAACTGGAACCAATTGGTATTCTTCCAATTGGAACGAAAACCATTTGGGTTTTGGAACTCCCAATTGGAAGAATACCAATTGGTTCCAGTTGGAATACCAATTGGTCCCAATTGGAATGAAAACCATTTGGGTTTTGGGACTCCCAATTGGAACGAAAACCATTTGGGTTTTGGGACTCCCAATTGGAAGAATACCAATTGGTTCCAGTTGGAAGAATACCAATTGGTCTCAATTGGAACGAAAACCATTTGGGTTTTGGGACTCCCAATTGGTCCCAATTGGAACGAAAACCATTTGGGTTTTGGGACTCCCAATTGGAAGAATACCAATTGGTTCCAGTTGGAAGAATACCAATTGGTCCCAATTGGAACGAAAACCATTTGGGTTTTGGGACTCCCAATTGGAAGAATACCAATTGGTCCCAATTGGAACGAAAACCATTTGGGTTTTGGGACTCCCAATTGGAACGAAAACCATTTGGGTTTTGGGACTCCCAATTGGAAGAATACCAATTGGTTCCAGTTGGAAGAATACCAATCGGTCCCAATTGGAACGAAAACCATTTGGGTTTTTGGGACTCCCAATTGAAAGAATACCAATTGGTCCCAATTGGAACGAAAACCATTTGGGTTTTGGGACTCCCAGTTGGAAGAATACCAATTGGTCCCAATTGGAACGAAAACCATTTGGGTTTTGGGACTCCCAATTGGAAGAATACCAATTGGTCCCAATTGGAACGAAAACCATTTGGGT